CACTCCCCCTGCTTGTGTTCCCTCTCTCGCTGTCTCTCTCTCTGTCAAATAAATAAATAAAATCTTTAAAAAAAAAAAATAAAAATAAAGGTACGTCTCAGATGGTGGGCAAACGGGCCCAAGTGATGGGCAGTTTTGCAATAGTTCCTAACAAGTTCTACCTGTCTGCAGAGGCAATGTGTGAAGATACAGCAAAAACAGTGTCTAAGAAGTGACTTTCTCAGCCAGTGCAAATGACACGTTTTCATGGCATTGATGACAACGAGAAAGTGTCCTTCTTTCAAGATGCTTTCATTAGCACTGCCTCATTTCACTCTAAGAGGTTGACAGACATATTACACGCCCTTCGCAGATGAGGGGATAAGGGGGAAAGAGACACAGAGCAATCACATCATCGTTGTTCTCATCAGCCCTGAGCTAATGTGCCAGTCAGTACGGTGCTAAGTGTGGTAACATTTGTCATCATAACTGGTCCTTATAACTCCACGTGCCACATAATACATCATCCCTAGCTTACAAGTGAGCATCTGAGACTGAAAAAGTCACACTGCTAATAAGAGGCAGAGCTGGGATTAGAACCCAGGTCCTCTGTCTCCAGAGTCAGTACATAAAACCACTACCAGGCCACCTGTCTTATAGCAAAAGGGGAGCTAGAAACAAGATCTCCTGGTGTTGGTGACTCCTCCTGCTATGCCACTCTGCCTCTGTTTAGTCATGAGAATGGCAAAGATTTTAGAATTTAAGGCTACCTGAGGGTGTCTACCATCTGTCTGAATCCAGAAAATACATGTGGTTAGGTCAAAGTTAAACCCAAAGTCTTGGATTTGGTAGTTCTTCTGAAAATACCAATATCCTCTTGGGGACAGGAGGTGACTATAAACACTGGGCTCATGAACTGGCAGTTTCCTTTCACTTCCCCTGCAGGCAAAGCTGGAGACCAACGCTGCTTACCATGGTGAAGCGCTCCCTGCAGCAGACCATGCAGATGCTCGCACTCTCATCGGGCACCCACTGATGCCTGCCAGGGGGTGCTGCTGGGGGGACAAACTCTGGTGGGGGCTGACTCTCTGGGAAGCTCCTCTCCCTTGGACTGGGGGAATGTGTAGTGGAGACACCTGGGAGTCAGAGCCAAAGTCAGAGTACAAGGTGATCAATAGTTCAGCTAATAAATGAAGAAGGAATGAGAAAATCAGAATTTCACCATGTTTCAAACCTCTCCTGCAATAATATATCCAGCTAACGGTCATTAATGGCTGACTGCATCATAAAAAGAGAGACACCTGGACACTGTGTGTCTCCTGATGGAAGGCACACAAACACCTATCAAATATGCTTACCAAAAAATATTAAGCCTGAATCAAATCAAGCTTCTAGATCTACCAACCAGTGTACTGGATATAGAGAGGACTGAGACCCAGACTGCAGGGTGGCCATCAGTGAAATCTAGCATGTGGGAAGCTCTACAGGACAAATGAGCTAGTTTCCTCCACAGATAAAAAAGAGGTAGGGGAACCAAATTGATTAAAAGAGACCTGAGAGGTATTTTAGCTACATGCCATGTGTGGACATTATTTAGATTTTGATTCTAGAAAAAACAATTCTAAAAAAAAAATTGAGACAACTGGGGAAATGTGAATGCTGACTGGATAGTTGGTAATAATAAGAAATCATTCGTTTTTAGGTATGATGATGATGTTACGGTTTTGTTTTGTAAATATCCTTACCTTTTAGAGATATATACTGATATGTTTATAAACAAAATCATATGAAATCTAGCACTTGCTTCAAAATAACCCGGTAGTGGCATAAGGGTATAATGGAACAAGAATGGCCATTGTGAGATGGTAATTATTGTAGTTGGGCCATAGGTATGTGAGACCTCGGTATACTATTCTACTTTTGTATATTGGAAAATGTCCACAATAAAAAGCTAAAAAAAAAAAAAGTAAACCAAAGGTGCTCAGGCTGTCATATGCCGATGCATGAGGCTGTTCGTATACCTGTAAATCTGAGCCCTTCCCTCAGGTCTGCTGGTTACTGTAAAGCATGGCTAATTTTCAAAGTACGGCCATGAAATGCCACCATCTTTGCTTTATGGTATCTAAGGAAATTTCCTGTCACCTAGCAGAGAAAGGTTGGCAAGTCACAGAAAAAGAGAACTGAAAAACATACTGACTCTTTGCAGTGCCCATATATCTCCCCCTGGAATCCCGCGCCCTTGACTGTTGGCAAAACAAACACTTGCTGAAGCTTCCTCTGAGGACTGTAGGCCATTGTGCAAGGGGCCAGGGACTGGGAGAGAAGGGGGTGGTGAAAAGGAGTGATCAAGACACGGCTGAGGCCTTGAAGGAGCCTGTGCCCTGTGTAGGTAACAGACATAAATAACGAACTTGCAGCAGAGTGACAGAATGATCGTGAGGACTGAATATACTTTATCCTCCCTATTAGCAGAGTCTGTATTTGTGCATTTGCCCAACCAAAATTTACTTGTAACCTCAAAATCAGTATTGGCAGTGCCCTTGTAGACATGGGCAGAGTGAATAATTTGAGACACCTGACATGCAGGTTCTCATCTGAGGATGAACAAGGTGATGTTCTGCTTTCTTATTTCAGTTCTCATACAGAGGTGATGGGGGATGGAGATGGTAGGGGACAGTGTGGGGTGGTGAAAGAAGTTCCGGCTCTTGGGCGAGCTGGACAGGGTCTCAATCCCAAACTCTCATTAGGCACTCATTAATGGGTTTGCCTCAGGCAAGTCACTTTAACACTTCTAAACCTCTTTTTCTCTTTGGTAAAATAAAATAAAATCTACTGGGATGAATTGTTTTCAATTTCAATTTCAATCTAAGTGACACACACACACACACACACACACATTTTCCCTACGAGCAATGGTTCAGTATTTGCTAATTCAGTGTTTGCAAAGATCTTATAGAAATACTACTGCAAATAACGAGAATTTATTGTTAAATTTTCTCGGATATACAAAGCTGGAATGAACCAAAAACAAGAATACCGTAACTGGAAATGAAAAAAGAGGCAAAAGAATCAGAAAGAATTAGGCAAGTTTGAACTAAACCATGGATAACTCTCAGAACCTGTCCTTACCAGGAACAGCTGCAGCAGCGGCAGAAAACTCTGCCGACGGGGATCTAGACAAGGTCTCGAGGTCTGAAACTTGACTGATTTCCTGGAGGTGAGTCAAAGAATCTGGAGAGAGGGAAAATGCTGACAAAATATCATCCTACCATAAGCATCTTTACTCACTCTGCTAGACATTTAATTTAAAGCCCTGTTGCTTTGCTGTCATCCCATGATTCTGCCAGGTGTAAAAAGCCTGGCGGAGGTACTTCCAAGACAACAGCAAGCATGCTTCTTCAACGCCTCAAAAAGCAAACTATGTTTAGACGCATGAAATAATGAAGTAGCTGTTAGAAGTTTACAAAATAAATCTAAAAATGCCCAAAGGGAAATAGAAGACATTTAAATGATGGCCCTGGAGGGTAGAGAGTAAGAGAACAAAAAGCTGTCTGGGAACATCAGCCTATAATTATTTCATTTTCTTCATTCTGGAAGAGGCTCGGCTCACGTACTAGTGGTATCTGATGTGACCCTGGGAACAGCGCATGCCCTCAATACAGAATGATGGTACATAAGAGTCCACTGCGCCAAGGCCAGACAGAGACCACTCCCAGCATGTTTTGTTTCCCAGACCTTTATGTTTGCACGGTGGTAATCTACCATACTATAATTCTGGTTAGCCTGCCACTTCCTCCAAGGCCAAGAGGTCTCCTGTATAGCAAAGAGCTATCTCTATGGAAGTGCATTCTTTTCACTCTTGATCAGCTCAAAATAATAAAAGAAGACAAATTATAACTAAGGATGTGGTACGGTGTTTCCTCCTCCAGGTGGAGCCACCATTAGGATGTTGGCAGTTACCTGATCGTTTCTCCCTCAGAGAGTATGGGAAGTCCAAGGCTTTTGCCGCATATCTAGAGAGCAGTGAGTCAACGTCATCCATGGTGAAGCCAATCTCCTGCCCGGCCAGCAGCTGGTGCAGAGTCTGCACAGCCACGGTGGCCCAATCCACTTTCATGTTCATGAGTAGCTGCTCCAGCATGAGGAGGGGGTTAGAGGACAAGTGGGAGTAGCTGGCCCGGTGTGGCTCAGGTAGGGTCAGCAGAACCTGTTTGTAGGGTAGATCCACAGAGTAAAGAAAACAATCATTAGAACATTTCAGAAGGAATCCAAGGTTCTTACTGGGAGGGGGAAGGGGAGCAGGGACCAAAGGCACATGGCCAACTACTAGGGCTGGCTAGTAGTCTTTCTGGAAGCAAGGCTGAACTCCTATTTCAATCTTTCAGGTGGCAATCAAGAAGTACTTCAGGTGAGAGGTTGGCTAACTTTCTCTGTAAGGGGTCAGATAATACGTATTTTAGGCTTCATGGGCCATGAAGTCTCTGTGGCAACTATTCAGCTCTGCCAGTGGGGTGTGAAAGCAGCCAAAGGCCATATGTAAATGAGTATACGAATTTATGTTCCAAAAAAACCTGATTCACAAAAGCAGGCTGAGGACTGGATTTGACCCACAGGTGGCACCTCCAGGTATAGTTGAACTCTACCTGATCCTTAAAGCCACCATTCTATCTGAGGCTTAATTAGAATGAGCAATATAAGGTGATATCAGTAGGCTGCCTAAACCTAGCACCTCCAGTGTCCTGGAGGTAAATGATGTCTCTACACGCCTAGAGATTATTATCACTAGGCTTGAAATATGTCCACTGGCTCTGCTCATTGCCAGTTTTCAAGGATTCCCCCCATTTAGTTACAGTGCATCAAAAAAAAAAAAAAAAAAAAGAGTGCATCTTCTTTAGGAACATTTTATGTAGTTGAACTCTTAACAAGTGAGCCAGTGCTCATATTGATGGTTCTCCCAGCACTCGTTCTATTTGTGAGGCGAGTTCCATACTCACGGAGTGGTAGATATGACTGCCAATCAGAATCATTAGAACAGTGTCAGAGGGCCCCATTTCTCCCCAAACCCCCCTTCTCCAGATTACTTTTTCTAGTTTGTAATTTCTTCCATTAGTGTCTCCGAGGTTACACATCAAAGGTAAGGACCTCATTACCTAGAGAATTAACTCTTTTTTTTTTTTAGCATAGAGTGGGTTATTAAGCAGTAGTTTGAAATCCTTACCTCAGAATCTCTTTGGAAGATAGGCAGGCCCTGTCCCAAGAGATTCAGTTTTAATTGATCTGGGGTAAAGGTCAACAGTTGTTTTTTTTTTTTTTTCCCCAAGTCCAGGTGATTCTACTACATGGTCTACATTGAGAACACTGATCTAGCAGATACCAGGGAAACCACAAAGAGAACTTAAGAGGGCCATGTAGAATTCACTTTGGAGACAAGGCAGTAAGAGAATGACAACTCCTAAGGGATGAAGGAGTGGGCTGCTGGATAAAGGTTTTATATAGCATAGGCCAAGAATGGCAGATGTCTGGGAGAAGAGCCACTGAAAGGTTAAGTTCTGAAGCGGGAGCTGGGCCGGTGGTCTCTCCTCCAGGCATGCCTTCCCAACTCCCCCGCTTCTTTCCTGACCTTGGATCCCATGTACAGTGCCTGGATTTCACGGCGTCGGACAGCAGTCAGTTCTCCGTAGAAGTGTGTGGTGAGGTAGTTGGCCAGGAAGTGAGAAGCGGCCAAGCTAGGGTGCTGGTCAAGGGATTGCTCTGTGACCTCAAGGCACATTGTGGGATCAGGAATTCTTCGCAGGAGCTATTGTAAGAGAAGGGTAGAGGAGAAAGGTGAAAGCCCATAAAGAACTCAGGCCAGCCTTATTTTATTTGGGAATGGAACATTTAGGTTTATTAATTTTGGACTAATCCCTTCTCTGCACTTTTTCTTTCACCACCCCTGCAGCTTCACAAATGATGACTTTGACCAGAGTTTAGCAGAATCCTGGATACTGCTGACCATCAGGCATTAAAGGCAGGGCTAGGTACCTTCACTGAAGAGGACTACAATCATCTTGAGGCCAAGAAGGACTCCTGAAGGACATGAAGCGGTAGATCTGAGATTGCAAATGCTTTGCGTGGTATTTAGCATGAACAAAGCCATCTGATTTGACTGACCTTTTTGTCTTATCCCAAAAGAAAAATGGAAAGAGACAGAGGCTTACTTGCAGAGCCTTTTCATGATCTCCTCTTTCTAGAAGGTGGAGAAGATGCTTCTGATGTAGGCTGATTAAATGCTCTCTTGGAATTGGGTAGAGGCAGCCCCACTCCTCACACAGTCCATATTCCTGGAAGGAAACACACATGGCTTCAGTCCCTTTTAATCACTGGCCTTGTCACACATCCAGCTTTTGCCTGATTTTTCTCAGCAGTCTTGAGTCTGCTAAAGCCCCAGGAAAGTTTGGTTAAGTGCTGATGGGAACTTCACTCTGGGATTAAAGTGGGCTCATAAACTCAAAGGACTAGAGTGCCAAGGGAGTTATGAAAATACCAAAGTAGCTTGATGATTAATGATATCACTTTCCTCTGAGATCTAGCATAAAAAAGAAACAGGTGACATGAAGTCACTGACACTTCATGTCAGCCCTGGGGAGATATTAAGGAAGTGGGGAAGACTAAGATTGTCCAAAGGAGACAGTGCCGAGTAATGGATAGAATTGTTGAATCAGTATGTTGTACAATGAAACTAATATAATACTAAATGTCAATTATGCTGGAATTAACATAAAGAACAAAACAAAACACAAAGGAGATAGTGCGTACTCAGCTCCGTTGCCATATGAATGTGCAAACCCAGTGTTGCCAAACTTCAAAAAACCAAAAAAAATTTTTTTAAATTAAAAAATTTCCCTATTTTAAAATGTTGGCAATGAAATTAACATGAAAAAAATCAGATTCAGCAGACCAATATTGCATGGGCCAAACATACATGCTGGGCATGGATTCTGTCCATGTCCCTGTCTGCTACTCCCCACCCCCAATTTGTGAACCTTGGATTAAAGTTTCAGAAAATGGAATTCCCGAGGCTTTGCCCGAGTATTTTAATATGGTGCCATCTGGAATGCCTTCCCCACAACTCTGCCTGGGGCCACCTTGTTCAGGATGCTTGTTTCTCAGGCTACATCAGGTGCCCTGCCTGTGCTCCCACCACAATCTGGGTTTACTTCTGTCACTTGATATATCGCAATCATCTAGGGATGTGTGCCATATCACCCCTCTTCCCAAAATGTGAGCCACACAAGGTCAAGGACTAAGCTTAGTTATCTTTGTTTCACCACCATCTACTACAGTGGCAAATAATACATGGTCAATAAAGGTTTCTTCAATGCATGAACATCTGAATGAGCACAACCACATTTTGAACTATGGTATATCGGCTCCTTAAAGAATAAATAAAATTCTATTTAGCACTCAAATGTTCAATAAATATATGAAAAGACATTCAAGGTCATTAGTAATCATGGAAATGTAAATTCAAACAGTCATGAGATACCATCCTACTGGCACAAAGGGAGAAGTTGGACAATATCAAATGCCATAAGGATGTGGAGTAACAGGAACTACAAATGTACTGATCTTAAGAGAAATTTGCAATGTCTCAGTAAAGGTGCAGATGCTCATGCCTGATGATTCAACAAGTCCACCAGTAGCTCTACATTCTGTACTCAGTATATACCGTGTAGGGTGATAGTACAAACGCATCCATTGTATTATTCTCTACACTTCTCTGTACATTGGTAAATTTCACACACACAAAAAGAAAAAAGAATGTGATGTAGTTACCAAAAAAATGTGGACACTGACATGCGGAAAGGGGTCTACACAACCAGGTAAGGAGGTGCAACTCCAAGAAGGGGAGAAAGGGGAACACCACTCAGGAAAATAGTACCTTTGCTTCTAGAATCATGTTCATGACAGTTGATGGGTCCTCAATGCAACAGTTCCTCAGGCTCTGCCAGTCACACCACACTGGGGTAGCCTGCAAACCTAGAATCTAAGGAAAGACAGGAAGAACTATCAAACCACACTGCAGCTTCCCCCTCCACGAACAAGTCATCGAGTTTCCAGGGATGGGCCACCCCTAGGTTTTTGTCCCAATGTCAAGCTGTCAAAACTTGCCAGGAGAGAGGAAGAATTAAAGCAAATGAGGCAAAGACTGGAAAGGTGAGTGAACATATCCAGGAGGCATCCTCAGGGAGCAAAGGCTGAGCGGGGGAGGCCAGGATTGGGGCCTTTCACTTATGAGAGCAATTCTCAGAGGCTTCTGTGCTTCATAGCTTGTTCAAACTCCTGGGGTCACTTGTCCCATGCTCCTCCATCTTAAAAACTCTACCCAAAATATTCTTCCAGCTTGAATGCTCTGTGGGATTGCCCTTCATGCAAGCATTTTAGCTCTGCATGAAAAGTGCTGAGGAAGAGTGGAAAGAAGATCTTTCTCATCTGCTATCTTTACTTGCTCTGCTGGGTCTCTGGACTCTGTTTGGTTCCAAGTATACGTGGAAAAATTAGCATAAACTTTATACTTGCTATGTAGCCATACCACCTAAATCTGTCTCCCTGGGCCTCTTGATCTTGAATATAACACACATCCCCAAATAATCTTTCATTTTTAAACTGTCACTTCCACGCAGCCTTTCAAAACGGCTCTTGAAATTTAAAACCATCTTTAAAAAAGACATAATAGAGATTAAGCTCTATAAGAACTCTTGAACAACAAGGAACACATAACAGACATAAAACATGCACAAAAATCAAGTATACATGTGAAAGAGGCTTTGTGGACTGTTATTACTATCCTTGTCTGATGCGTACATATTTAAAATTACCAGAGGAAAATAACATAGAAAATAGATATAAGGTCTCTCTTTGTTGTTCACCTAAAAACAGAAGCCAGATGCAGGAAAAAAGCCAGGCCCAGATTGTCTGTTTCTTAAAATCCAGCATCACATGAGAACAGGCTGGAGCTGGTAATACAGTGGGAAGCCTATTTCCTTTCTCCTGATGCTGGGAGCCATACCTTCTGATACATCCGCAGCTCTGCCAGCTTTCTCTGTAGCTCACGCTTTAGTCCATCTTGGACAGTTGTGTCTGAGATGCAGTACGCCAGGATCTCCAAGCACCACTCCAGGGGCCACCTGTCCACAAACCGTAGGGTTAGCCGACTTCGCAGAGATGCGTCCTTCACAGGGAACAGGAACTGCCAACCTTCTTTGTCTACAAGATGAAAAGATGCCCAGAGGTAGCAAGCCTGGCACTGGAAGAGCTCAAGAGTCCAGGCTACTCCTTAGAGAAGGGCTTTGTTCAATTTCATAAAACAGGAGCTTGGAGGATCCTTATGATCCATCTGACTTTAATTTTTATACTTGGAACCATTATATGAAAAGGACAAATGCTATATGCCTGTATGTTTCTCTTTTTGCAAACTTAATCACAGTCATGAGACTTTCTGAAAAGAGAGAAAAGGAGAAAGGAAAGGAAGAAAAAGGAAGAAAGGGAGAAGGAAGGAATGGAGAAAGAAGAGCTAGAAAACACATGAAGCTCTCCATGTTTTGTGCTGCACAGATAGCACTGGGTCAGACTGAGCTTGTAGGTGGAACTTTTAGTTTTCCCTGCAATTTCCACTCTGTGCCACACAGAACTCCTCCAAAGTTATTTCAGGTAAACCAGTTTCACTCCCTCCATGCCCTCTGTCATTATTACTTAGATCTTTCTTTCCTACACCCATTTCACAGATCTGAAAATAGACTCAAAGCAATTAAGACTGCACAGCCAGTCAGTGGATTTCTCTACATTTTCCAGAAGGGAGTTTCTCCTTTCTGCAGGGCAGCCAAGCACCCCCCGCCGGAGAAGCCATTTCCTACGGCCTGCCCAACTCTTGGCCACCCCCGCCCCCGCCACTGCCAGTGGAGTGTTACAGGTCATTGCTCTCAACTCCCTTGAAAGCTCTTTGGGAGCTTTTATTTACTTTTTTCCAGTGCAAAAAGTGGTTTTATTAAAGCACGGGGACAGGACCTGTGGGCAGAAAGAGCTGCCTTGGGCGCCTGGGTGGCTCAGTCGGTTAAGCGACTGCCTTCGGCTCAGGTCATGATCCTGGAGTCCCTGGATCGAGTCCCGCATTGGGCTCCCTGCTCGGCGGGGAGCCTGCTTCTCCCTCTGACCCTCCTCCCTCTCGTGCTCTCTGTCTCTCATTCTCTCTCGCAAATAAATAAATAAAATCTTTAAAAAAAAAAAAGAAAGAGCTGCCTCATTGGGAGCTTTTAAAATAGGGGTAGTCAAACAGGCCTATGGTCTGTTTTTGGGTTTGTTTTTTAAAGATTTTAAGTAATCTCTACACCCAACATGGGGCTTAAACTCACAACCCCGAGATCAAGAGTCGCACGCTCCACTGAGGGAGCCAACCAGGCGCCCCCAGTCTGTTTTTACATATAAAGTTGTATTAGAATATACCCATCCTCATTTGTTTATGTATCATCTCTGACTGCTTTCATTCTATAATGGCAGAGTTGAGTAGTTGCAACGGAGACTGTATGGTCTCCAAAAGTCAACACTTGCCTGAATACCATCTTGGGCTTCTGGGGGGTTGGGTTCAGATATTTGTAGTTTATAGAATTTTCTAGTGATTCTGATATGCAGTGTTGAGGATACGGGCTATGAGTGCCTATTCTAAAGTTAGATGGAGGGTGCCTGGATGGCTTAGTCGATTAAGCATCTGCCTTTGGCTCAGGTCATGATCCCAGGGTCCTGGGATTGAGTACTGCATCGGACTCCCAGCTTAGCTGGGAGTCTGCTTCTCCCTCTCCCTCTGCCCCTCCCCGCTGCTCGTGCTCTCTCTCTCTCAAATAAATAAATAAAATCTTAAAAAAAAAAAATAAAGTTAGACAGAGTGGGGTTCTAAGCTCTGCTCTACCACTTATCCCGGGCAAGTTTCCTATCCTCTGAGCCACAGTCTCCTTTTAATATGATGAGATTACAGTGGCAGCTTTCTCTAGAGTTCCTGTGGGGATCAAATGCGATGATACACTCATTGAATGCTCAACGTTGTTACCACCAGTGAAGGGGGAGGCATAGCCTTCTGCTTACCACATGCCGTGGCACAGCTCAGGACCGCATCTTTTATGTTGCTCAAGTCATCCATGTCTCGCCCATACACTTCCGTGAGCTGAAGGGCTTGGGGCCAATCTCTGGCCACCAGGGCTTCCTCGAAGGCTTCGGTGAGCACATCTAGGGCACTGGGAGAGTGTAGGCCCAGGAGGACGGTAGAGAGACTGGCCCGGCCACAGAGACTCACTGCCAGGCTCTGTCCCTGCTCGGTGGACCGTCGTAGCGGCTCCCAGGCAGCCAGGAGGGAGGCCTTGAGCATAGGAAACTGTTCTAGGAGGTGCTCACATTCCTGGGCTACCTGCTCTGCACTGAGAGGCACCTCCCTGCGGCCACGAAGCTCCTTCCATGACAAGCTGGGCTTGGTGAGCTTTAGCCCCTGGGAAGCCCCCAGACAGGCCACTGTGGCCAGCAGCTTTGAGCGGGACTTAAGGAAGCCCAAGGCAGAGGATGTAAGGGCTGGGAGTGATGAATCCCTTGGGGAGGAGTGGGGCTTTCTCTCCAATGTGGAATTTCCAGTTGGCTTTGGGGAGCTCAGTGTAGAAAGTGGGAGGTCCTCCAGGCAGTGGGAGGTATGTAGCTGGACCAGGACGCCCAGGTGGGTCAGAAGGGATGACGTTTGCTGGCTTTGCCGGGAAGAGCAAAGGGCAAGAGGCTCACAGCAGCAGTTAACGATGACCTTTGGCACACTCAGGCTGAGCCCCTCTCGGGCCAGAAGGGCTGCCAGCCTAGAGGGAGAGAAGCAGAAGATGCGCAAGACCTGAGTACATAGGCATATTATCTAAGCTCGGAATTTCTTTGTTTATACAATGAAATGTAAATGCAGCCTCTTTGTTACTCTTGCTCTCCCTCTTTTCTCCCCACATGAACAGTAGCCTATTAGACACACTGCTCTGCTCTTGCTTTTTCACTTGATAACCTATCTGGGAGATCTGTCCACATCCCTCTGCAGAGACCCCCTCATTCCTATTTACGTCTACATAGTATTACATTATGGGTTAAGCTATAATTTTAGTCTTCTATTACTGAACAGTGGATTTTTCTTATCTGTTTCTATTACATATAAGGCTGTAACAAAACGACTCTGTATATATATAATTTTTCACGGGTCAGTAAAGCCACAGGATAAATTCCCCAATGTGGATTGCTAGGTCAAAGGGTATACAATTTTTTTTTTTTTTAATAAATACGGACAAATGGTCGTCCCACAGGGGCTGTACCAATTTATATCCCACCAGCAATCTATGAGAATGCTTGTTTTCCTATAGTGTAGCCAACTAATGAGTTATCCAATTTTTGGACTTCTGCTTTTTCATAAATGAAGATTCACCCTTTAATTCTATGCTTGTAATATAAATGTTGCGAGAGGTGGCAAAACAGAAAGACATGAGGTGAACTGAAATTGAATTTTAATGTAGCTGTGTAAGAATAAATGCAAATTAAGGGAAAAGTCTGGAAGAAATCCCCACTCTCTGTACTGAATTCAGGCACAACCCCACTGAGCCCTGGCATTCCTTAATGAAACGAAATAGTTAGGAAGGCTTAACTCCCACAGAGTAGCTCCTACCTGTCTGGGGGAACTTGTCGCTCAAGCAGGAGGTGTGACACAAGTTGGGAAGAGCTCTGTTGCAGGAGAACAAATGGATTTCCTACCTTGACCTCCAAGTGATCTGCAAAGATAAAGTGACTTTTGTTTTCACCACTGACTGTAACAGCTCAGAGACCTGTTTCCCAGAATTAATAAAAAAGAGTAATGTCAAAATGAAGACTACATTGAGGGGCACCTGGTGGCTCAGTTGGTTAAGTGTGTGCCTTCGGCTCAGGTTATGATCTCAGGGTCCTGGGATTGAGCCCTGCATCAGGCTCCCCGCTCAGCGGGAGGTCTGCTTCTCCCTCTCCCTCTGAGCCCCCACCCCCCCACTCATTCTCTCTCTTACTCTGCTCTCTCTCTCTCTCTCAAAAAACAAAAACAAAAACAAACCACAACTTAGGGAAAAAAAAAAAGACTACATTGAGAGCCCTTCTGTTGATACTTTCTATGTAAAGGGTATTCTCGACATGACCCCAACTGCAAGTTTACACCTTACTATGCTCTAAAGACTTCCAACCACAGACAGACTTTAGTAGGTAGGTCTAGCCACAAATAGCTCATCCTGCTCTCTTCAACATGACTAAAGTGTACGCAATACTCGCTCTGTGGACTCAAGTAAGAACCTGGCCCTCATATCAGAGACTTGATCCTCTCTGGTTCTCAAATCCATGATGGTCTGAGAGAGGTACTTTTTGTCATTAATGCAATCAAAATTTATCAAGTACTCCCATGTGCTGTACAGCTGTACTAGGCAGTGGGGAGACAAGGATGAATAAAACACAGAGATGAGTAAGAGAGGATTCTGGAAATCTAGTGTTCTTGGCTACTGCTGTACCCAGAACCTCTCTCTCTTTTTTTTTTTTAGCATAGAGTGGGTTATTA